CGCCCCGCCCCGCCTCGCCTCGCCCCGCCCCGCCTGCCGCCGGAGAAACTCCTGCGCCCCGCCCCGGGGTGTCCCCGCGTGAGTCACCTGGGCATTTCGGAAGCTGGGCCCAACGTCACATCCATGTGGAAATCGCGATGATGGGAACTGGAAATAGGTTCTTTTTCGCAGCCGTTTTTCTGCAGAAAATCATCAACTGTGGAGAACAAGAAGGGAAATAATAAAGAGAGAAAACCCTAAAAACCACCCCGGAGCCCGGGACCGCAGGCCTCCGCGGGTTTGCAGCGCTTGGGCTGCGCACGTGATGAGTTCGTAGGGGAGTGCCCTACTGTGGGCCCCCGGGGGGATTTCGAGAAAAAGTTGCAGTCACAGCCCTTGGCCCCTACCTCCAGCGTTCCTGCCAGTCCCGGGCCCCTGGCTCGTGGGATGCCGCTCCTAGGTGACGTCAGACCTCGTGGCCTTGAAATTTGCAGGGGCAAAGCCAGTCTTAGGTAAAATTAGGAATCAGAACATTTGCCAGCCTCGTCCCTCACTTGACTGATTTCCTTTCTCCATTTCTGCACACCAGGTGCCCAGCTGGCCTCGCATTCAGGTAGCATTTCAGTTGAGAAATCGCTTCTAGCTCCTTACTGTCCTTGCCACTTGCTTCTAAGACCTTATGAGTCTGATAGTAGGTCCTGCTAGTAGTTCACCCCACGGTTCCAAAGGCTGATAATACTTATTACCCTCCGTTTCCCGCCCCCACCCCCTTATTAAATAGCATGTTAATGGCACTGTCTTCACCCAGAGGGTGTCCTGTGGAAATAGGTGTCAGCCACTGGGCAGTGCAGGGACATGAGTTGTGGAGGGAGGGGCACTAGGCTCTTTTACTGCCTTGGTGTCCTCCTTGGCTCATTTTCTAGAATGACTAAACTAGAACCAGACTGAAATATACCTTGTAGACTTAGGTATATTTGTCCGGCTAGATATCTTAAGTTTTGAATTAGAAAACATTCTCCTCTCTCCAGTAAGGGCCCACAGAAACAGGGATGGGGGATGGGAGATGGGGGATGGGGGCTGAGAGGGGGGAGGTACTTTTTTGGTGACTCTTACAGCAGAGAATCACCAAGGTCCCAAGGCTGGTGCTGATTATTTGAAACTGATGGCTGGAATTTTTTCCAACTCCAGAACTCCTGGTGTTTGTCTTCTCATTCACAAATATTTTCAGCTGCCAACAGGCAAACAATAGATAGTCAAGCTAGTAATATAATAATGATAATAACAGTGATGATGAAGACATTTATCAAGCCCTTACTGTAGGCCAGGTTGTAGGCTAAGTGTTTGCAGCGCATTCTGCCGTTTAAACCTCACAGCTCCACTTTGCCGCTGAAGAAACTGAAGTTTCAGAAGCTTAAGCCATCTGCCCAAAGTACACAATCAGCAAGTGGCTGAACCACACCTGGCACTGGGCCTGCCTTACTCCAAAGTCCACACCATTAAGTCTTAACCCTTAATCATTACTCTCAGAAAATATCTGACGAGATTTAAATTCTCATGGCCCCTGTTTGTAACCTTGGTCCCAACCTCCCAAACATAGGGCAGTCCCCTAGCCAAATTCGGACCCTGGGCTGGGGCAGAATGTGGGCTTGGGAGCCAGACATCCTCAGGAAACTTCCTGAGCTGGTTGAGATGATAAAAGATGATGTATATAAAAGAACATCCTCAGTCCTCAGACCACACTCCCCTTGTGCTCCTTCGGAAAAAGAGTTTGCCTGTTCTTGCTCATCTCTGTCTGCTCCTCGCCCCTCCTGGAACTTCCATTGCCCTTTTTCTGGTTTACATCTGCTCCCTGGTTTCATGAGTTAGGAATGCAATAGCAGGAGTAACAAGCCCGAAAGACCACGCTCAGATTTGTCACTTCCAGTTGTCCTGAGGTCGAGGCAGCACCATCTTTCCTGCCAGGATTCGTAATAGCAATAGCAAACAAGGTAGTAGCAATCAGATGTGCGGGAGCAGTCCGTAACGCCCAGGTTAGCTCTACCCCCATCTTCCATAATTCTGCCCCTGGAATGATGGTCTCTATGAGGTTGCATTTTCAGGCCAGCCCTTCTCTAGTTTTGACTCGTCTTTCTGCCTCAGAGCTCTGGCGTTTCCCTTTCTAATACGTAACACATGGGCAAGACCAGTTGGGAATTTCTTGATGCTAAATCAGAAGAGTGGGACAAGAAGGGAGAACATAGAAGGAGAGACTCCTAAGGAAAAGGAGATCTAAAATTTGGGGAAATCCGTGGAATGAACTAAACTCAAAAAGATATCAAACCTTGCCAGGGACTTTAATTTCTATGATCTTATTAAGATGAATGGAACTCTGCAAAGAGAAAGGAATATATATTAACATCGAGCGGACACATAGGAGAAAAATACATGTCTCCTTATCAGAGAGAAGAGGAATTCAGGTAATGTGGAGTGTTTTGGAGAGTTTCCAAATTATGTGCCGTTTTTATGGTGAGGCCATCATTCACACATCATGAACTGCGTACAGTAAGCACATATGATCTCTTGGAGTTAGACAATCTGTGGGACTGTGGCCTGTGTGCTTATGCCACAGAACAAAAAAGATGTATGCCCCAAGGTAGCGAGGATGGAGTAGAGTGAGGGGTCGGGGAGGGGACAGGAGAAACCCAATTAAATCGAGGCGGATGTAATTGGGAAGAGGACCCCTATCTGGCTCACTTCAAAACTCAGTTCATGGGTCTTTCTTAAGAAACAGCCACAGGGTATTTCTTAAGGTGTATGGAATTCTGCTACAAGACAATCAAGGGTTGAACTAAAATCGGACGTTCTGTGTCTGTTGAACAATTGCTCCCCCTTTCCCAGCATTGTGCTCTGTTGAAAAGGAAAATCCATGTTAAACATATTTTGAAACAGCCTTATGTAAGAATGGCAGTTTAGTTATTGCAAGGTAGCTTTGAATCCTTCTTCAAATTTTAATAACCCTGGGCTGCGTTTTGAGATTACTAAAGTGTAGTGTTTGTGCTTTCGAGGCAGCTGTAAGGACTCGTTCTGGGAGGACAGGAGAAGTTCTTTGTGGGCTGTAACTGCAGGGAGATCTGGGATAATGATGTCACGGATTTTGTCACCCCCCCCCCCCATGGATGCCAAATTTTCCTGAAGTGCTATTTCTTATCTAGGGACCTCAGATTCTTTACAAGTATTATTCGGGGTGAATGGAGAAACCAAGACCCACCTCAGGGAAGGGACTTAACCAAGGGAATCTAATGAATCGCTAGTAACAGGAACAGAGACCCTCCACTAGAAGGGAGGAAGTTGGTTCAGTGCCAAGTGCAGCTCCTCCTATCCCACTTTGCCGGAAAGCATGGGCTGCTGAAATCTGAAACTGGTCAGAAAATTCATCCCGCCACGAATTCTGGTTTAATTTTCTGTCAACACTTGGCTGAAACACTTGGCAAAGTAATTTGATTTTACATCATGAAGATAAATATTCAATTCTTGGTTTCATTTCTGTTTCTGGGGAGGCTGCTATTAATGACCAAATATGAATAATGACATAAATATCTAAAAAAGGGTGTTATTAGGAACCAGCTGGTGTGCAGTGTCGGGTTGAGCAGTAAGCTGGATGTGAACTGAAATAAATCAGTTCCTGTTATTTGGGATAGTGCAAGCCATTATGAAAAATTGCCTTTTCTGCTCCCCCCTTTTCTTCATTTGTCTCTCAATTCCCTTAGTCAAAGGAACTGGGTGGCCCATAATCCTGTCTTTTTTGCCACCCCTGCCTCCCAGCTTTGCCTACTCCCCATCTCCATAGCAAGGGAGTTCGGCTTTCATTCTCTCCCACGGGCCTGTTTTCTGGGACTGGCTAATCTAAGAAGGTAATTCAGGTTCATTTGCAAAAACAGATTGCAACATGTTATGTTATATTTCTTGAGAAACATTCCTCTTGAAACTAGAACTTCCTAGAGCTTAAAGGTGGAAATTCCAAGCACCTTAGCAGGCTGGAGAAGAAACAGCTCTATTTCCATGACTCTGAGAGTCCATGGTTGCAAGATGTACCATGGATTTAGTAACAACGTGGTGGGTGGGGAGTTGAGGGGCACAACCTCATATTAGATGTTCACGCGATCCTTTTACTCACTGACCATAGCCTACATTTACTGATGTAATTACAGTACCCT